ACATGTTTAATTTCGCCTTCTTGCCAAATGCCATGCTTTCATAATGGAACTTTTGTGTGATATATCTATTCCAAATTGTATCTCGTATTAGTGGTAAAATATCCTGGCTCTTGATCCTCTGTGTAGTTTCCTCTTTAATTTTTCCTTTTGATGATATTTTACTGCCAGGTAATTTCTTTCAGTTTACCGGAGACTGCTCCTATTACATTTTATTTTTTGCATGGCTTTATCTGCTGTTCTAATTCTGATGAGAATGTTTTTATTCCAGATGAATTTTAAGTTTAACTTTTCTAGATTTTATTACATTTATTGACTTCATTTTCAAACCTTTCTTCTTTATTCTGCCTTAGTAGTACCTCACTTGTCTGTATGAAGGTTCTTGGATTTCTATCTTCCTATTTCTACTGCAATTATTTTGTCCATTACAATGGTAAGTAGTAATGGGCAGATTGTATGTCTTATATTAGAAGCAAACTTCGGCTGAAAGAGCTCCTATATATATTTACATACTTTGGCTTTTGTGGTTTCCTCGTAACAAATGGGCTAAGCTAGATCTTCCCAGGCACATCAAGATCTGCCTGCAATTTTGGATATGCCCTTTACATACGTATTTGTATTATTTATGCCCTTAGGCCAGATGCTTTACAGAAGAATCAGGATTTGGAATTTGAACGGAACAAAGAGAGATTCATGTTTTTAAAGGTGAGTAACTTTTCGGATCTGACTTGATTGCGAAATAGTAGGATGTGCAACACCAGTGTTGCATACATTAAAAATAAATATGTACCAACTTTTACATTCCTCACATCTAAGAGGATATACTCATGGCTTGTAAATTTGCTGTATTCTTCATGATAACTAAACTGATTATAGGGATCACAGCACTGTATTTGTTTTTACAGCATAAGAAAATTTTTCCAGTAAGAAAGTGTCGGTATTGCTAGGATAAGCTGGGCTACAAAATTACGCAAACATTGGATCTTATTTTTCTGTGCACTTGCACTGAAAATTGATGGCCGACAGAAGAGGGAAATTATGACTTAGCGGGGGAAAATCAAACATTTTACTAATTTTAGTATTGTAAGATTTGAGGTTTTCACAGCAGTGAGTATGATGATTTCTGTCTTCTGGGTTGTTGCGCTGTGTAGTCTGGTCGATGTTTATCGACGTTTCAGAGGTCATACTGCCTCCGTCATCAGGGCGATGAAGACAGAGGCAGTATGACTTCTGAAACATTGGTTAACATCGACCAGACTACACAGCGCAACAACCCAGAAGACAGAAATCTTAATTTTAGTGTTCTTTGAAGATGTGCCGTCCCTTCAAGATGCAGAAGGACTCCACACTGAGCATGGAAATATTTATTTCCTTCTTCATTTTGAGCAAGAAAATGTTTTATACCTTGGATGTAACGGTGTTTTGTGTAGCAGCCTTTACTGATGAACTGTCTCACTCATTTTGTAGCTGACATATTGTAACATTATTAAAACAGGGTTTTTGTTTTTGGTAAAAAAGAGCACACTGCAGTTTTTTAGACGTTTGTGTGCAATTATACAAAAGATACCGACCTGTACAATCTAAGCGATGTATTATAGAAATCACACTTTTGTTTCAACTTTGATGTTCCTGCCATTGTACACGTAATCGTGTAATCTGAATTTTCTGCTAGTGCTCCATTCTTTTCTATTTCCTTGACTTTATTTTCAATGAAGCCATGAACAAACTAATAACAAAGAGATCGTCTGTGGCGTGGGAAGTGGGTTCCATGTGAACTCCTACCTGCACAACAATCTGCTCTGTTATGTGGATCGAGCGACTGTGCTAGAGAACCAAATGTTACTGTGCGTATTTAGTCTCCGTTATATTCTGGTTTCATTGTCGTTCCACAGACGTGTTGGCATTTTCTTGGAAAGTGTGATCTGACAAATAGATAAAGCTTCTGTTAATTATCCTGGAATATAATTGCTTTGATTCTGTAATTTGAAAGGTGTTGCTTATTTTTATTGCAGTGGGGTGCTAAAGCTTTCCAGAATATGCTGATTGTCCCTCCAGGTTCAGGCATTGTACATCAAGTAAATTTGGAATATCTGGCCAGAGTTGTGTTTGACTCGGAAGGAGTGTTGTACCCGGACTCGGTTGTGGGTACTGACTCCCATACCACCATGATCAATGGTTTGGGTGTGCTAGGTTGGGGTGTTGGAGGTAAGATTTTTCTGTTGGGTATCTTAGAAAGCAGGGTTGGATAAATTTAAGATTACCAAGATTAGTTCAACAAAACAATCTTATGTCATTTCTGGATATCAAGGTAATGAAAGTTATGCATATAGAAAAGTGTTTTTATATTTATATATGTATTTGTATGTGAAATGTTGGAAAAGTGAAAATATAAGTACACGGAAGTGTAATTAATAATGTACATGACCTTTGTCAAACATTCAAGTTATGTATTGTGGTTGTACCAGTAAAATCAGTAATATTTTTCATCATGTTTCTCGTTGTTGTTTTGATACAGGAATTGAAGCAGAGGCTGTGATGCTAGGTCAAGCGATATCAATGTTACTGCCCAAAGTGGTTGGCTACAAGATTACTGGACAGCTGAATCAGTATGCAACATCTACAGATCTTGTTCTCACTATTACAAAGGTAATCAATCATTGGGAAATAAGTACTAAGTCTGAGACTGAAAAAATTAGCAGGACGCCTGGCATTCCATGTTCCGCCAAGTCTTTATACTTAACAGCAGTTGAACTCGTAGCTAATACATAACTAAGTTTAGTTTTTTAAAACATCGGTGTCTAATTTTCTGGTCAGCCCCGAGGCATTCACTCTCTGAAGGTGGTAAATGAAGTGTTTGCTGAAATGGAAAACTTTCTATGTTCTGCGTGGCCAAACTGATTATAATATATCAATTTTATTTGATGTGATGAAGCACATTAGGCTAATTAGAAATTATTTTAACGTACGTGATATATGGCTGTCTGTAGAATTTAAATTGGTGGTTTTTGAAAACAAATTATTTATGAAAATATAAAGACCTATAGATGAAGACAGCAAACACTTTAGAATGCATAAGAAATGTTTTGATTATGCAGATACCCTAGCATTATTAGGATACTGTCCTCAAGGAAGTTATGCTATGCCATACATGTAACTTGGATGCGGGAGACACAACAAGTACATATGGAAACCTCTTGGAAAGTTGCTGCTTGTAAAACTGGGGAGATGAGAAGATGAAACAGGATGTAAATGCAATTACCTAATGATCTATGTTGAAACTTCAGATTCTAACTAGTATTTGTCAGTTTATCAGCCACCTCCTCTCCCCCCGCCATAGACAAACCATTCAGTTTGTGAATAATGTTAATATTAATGTTTAGCAAAAGGAAATTACAGTTCACTTGTCGGCTATTTGTTCTTTAAATTTTTCATTGTTCAGTTTAAGCAATTTCATGACATGCTAGATCAGTTTAAAGTTTTCGACACTAAGGTCGCATTATCATTTCATGTAATTATGTTTGTATTGTTTGATAGCATCTACGTCAGCTTGGTGTAGTGGGCAAGTTTGTCGAATTCTTCGGCTCGGGCGTAGCCGAATTATCAATTGCAGACCGAGCCACAATTAGTAACATGTGTCCAGAATATGGAGCTACTGTTGGTTTCTTCCCTGTAGACAAGAATAGTCTTGCTTACCTCCGTCAGACAAGTGAGTAGTTCTTAATAATGTAACGGTGATCACTTTCTACCTTCGTGGTGCCAGGTTATCCTTTTCCGAAGTTTTTAATTAATCAGCCTTATAGGACGGTGGTCTAGCGATTAGAACGCTGGCCTTGTAATCCTGGGGTCTCGGGTTCGATTCCCGGCGGTGCCTGAATTTATAACTTGTGTTGGGCAAGGCCGAGGTCTAGGCAACACGGAGTTTTCCTCCGGGGGCTTCCCCGGTTTCTCCGTGGCATCCCAACAATTACTCCATTCACACACAGAAGAAGGCAATGGCAAACCACTTCTGGATCATCTGCCAAGAACGTATATGAACAGGTCCCAGTCCGAGAAAAGGATGGAAGGATCCTGTTCATGTGGACCTGTCGTCAGACAGAACACTAAATAAATAATAAATAAATATAGGACAGTTATTTACATTTGTTTCATGCCCAAAACTGCTCGGTTTTTTATATCAGTCTTTGTGAAAGGAAAAATTAAGGGTGTCTCAACTCAGTCTTGTTTATTACCTTTGCAAATTTAAATTTGTGTCTGGAATAACTAAACAAGAATATCGTTGATGCTGTCAGAATTAATGCATTTGTTTTACGGTTATTTACATATAGAATATAAAACGTGAGCACCTTTGTTTCTCACTTTGTTCTTATTTTATAAAAGGGATAAAGAAAGTGTATAGAATATAAAACATGAGCACCTTTTTTTCTCACTTTATCCTTATTTTATAAAAGGGATAAAGAAAGTATATTCTACTTGCATCTTAAAATCTTGGCATTATTATCAGACCTTTGATTTTAGTTTGTGATCATACATGGAGCAAAGAAAAGTAACACTTTGACACTGGCATTTTCAGATCGGTCTGAGAACAAAGTGCGTTTAATGGAAGAGTACCTGAAATCAGTGCGCATGTTCAGAAACTATACGGATGAATCAGAGGATCCTGTATTCTCAGAAGTAGTGACCCTTGATTTGGCAACTGTAGTTTCTTCTGTCAGTGGACCGAAACGACCTCATGACCGTGTTCCCGTTGTGGACATGCCCACAGATTTTCGGCAGTGCCTGACCAATAAGGTAAGAATGAGACAGTTACGTTCAATTTTATTTTAATCTGAATGAAAAGTAGTAAAATACAAGATGAAGTTAATGTCAGGTAATGAAATTAAGTGAAAGCGTGTTGATTGTGGTCTTCTGTTTGTGACACTTCATGGTCTTGTAGATGGTTATCAGCGTTTCAGAGGAACAACGCCCTTGAACCACTTACAAGACCACATGACGTCATAATTCAGAAGACAATCTTCACAGTTGTGAGAACCTTAGATCTCAGATAAGTGAGAGCAAATGTAATGGTATTGTACATTATGAGAGGCTGTAAATATTGTTCAATCCTTCAGAGTTTCTTCAATCCAGGTGAGATATAGGATGCTACATTATTTCACATAAAATACTCCTGAATTTCTTTTTGTTTTTAAGAATACAGGAGAGTTTCAGAATTAAGTATAACACCGTCAAGTGGAAATAGTTCTCATATTGAAATCGGAAGAAAAATAAATTATGCAAATTCTCAAATTGAATGATTCACTCAAAACATACGGAACATTCGTCCCGGTGACGGTTCCATTATTCTCACCACCAGGGCAGAATGTTACGTGCGTATATGAGTCCGGATTAACTGAAGCGTTGTTTCTGTCTTCTGTGATATTTGACCAGAAAACCAATCTGGCTTAATCTGTATCCAATTTCTTCTACAGTTGAATTTGCATCCAACAAATTCTTACATTGAGTAAGTGACTTGAAGCATATGAAGCAATCTCCCCAGTGATGGTCACTTTTTCATCACCAAGATAGAATGATTCACATGTAAACAAGTCTAAATCAGTTTTATGTTGTTTCAATGTTACGTAGGATTGAATGCAAGATCTCCCTTCAGTCATTTAAATTGCATAAGATTTTATCCACGATTCAATTTTCAACGTACAGATTCTCAAGTTCAATGAGTCACTTCAGTTACATGAAACAGCCTTTCAAATGATGTGTTCAATCTTTTCGTAGTGAAGCTCAAATGCTTTATTCACAGGTCTGCTTTGACCATTGTCTTGATTTTCATCAGTCGATTCTAGTTTAATCTTCATGTATGTTCCACAACTAAATTTGCATCCTGTAGATCCTTATATTGAATAAGTGTCTTTAAACATATTAAGCAGTATTTTCAGTAATGGTTTGAGTCTTCTCATCAAGGTAGGGCGCTTCATACGTGTAGTCTGAATCGGCTGATAACCATGTCTCTTATCTTCTCTGTGATGAATTTTCATGCCTCGTATTCTCGTGTTGAATGTGTACCTTGAAACGCATGAAGCAATCGTCCCGGTGATGGTTTCATTACTCTCATCACCGAGGCAGAATGCTTCATACGTATAACAAGTCTGAATCAACTGATGTCTTCATTTTGTATCTTCTACATGATAGCACAAATTTTTTCAGTCATGACAAATACAAACCAAATTTTTATTTTAATTTAAACTGCATACATCTTCCACATCTTAGCTTTAATCCCACAAATTCTGCGTCTGATAGTCTTGAAACATATAGAACATTCTTCCCGGTGATGGCCCCAATCTTATCATCACCAAGTCAGAATGTCTTATACATATGCAAGTCTCAGTCAGTCGACATGTTCTATTTCTTGTCCGCGATGGTACATAGTTTCTCTTAAAAGAGGACTATGCTAGGCGTCCACTCTAGTTCAGACTACATAAAACTCCTTCCGCTACTCAATTTGCATCCCATAAATTCTCATATTGAATGACAGGCTTGAAACATATGCAACATCCTTCTTGGTGATGGTTCTGATCTTCCCGTCACCAAGGAAGAATGCCTCATATGTATACAAGTTTGGTTCAGTTGATTCCATCTTTTTGTATCTTCTTTGTACAATGTGCATCATTTACGAAGAGGGATATTCACGGGACCTCCATTCTAGTTTAGACTGCAGACGTCTTCCACAACGGAATTGACATGTTAACATGTGAAACATTCACCCCGGTGATGGCTCCAGCATTATCATCACTAAGGTAGAATGCTTCATACGTACGCAAGTCTGAATCAGCCAGTATCTTCTATCCGAAGTTTCTAATTACTAAAGTAGAACATATATTCTACAAGTTTGCCTAGTTTAAATGACGTCTTCTGCAAATCGGTTTGCATCCTACAGATGTGATTGGCTTGAATTATTTTCATGACCAGAGCGAAGTTCTTCCTGAATAGCCAGATGCATGGTGCAACAACCCAGAAGACGGCAATCTTCAACCAATCTTTTGTTTGTATATATCTGTATCTTCTGCATGATAGTTTCATATCTCTCAGTTTTAAAGAGGAAGTATGTCCTGGACTTCCATTATAGGTTATCTTCCACAACGCAATTTGTATCCCACAAATTGTGATACAGTTGTTGAATGAATGGCATAAAACACATGAAACATCCTTCCCGGTGATGGCTTCAATCTTCTCAACACCAGGAAAGAATGATTCATACGTATTTGCATCTGAATTAGCCAGTGCCGTCCATTGTGTTCAGTAGACCCTTGGTGGCTTCAACATCCGCATTACAAGTCAAAACATTTATTTAACTAACTACATGGCTTACCGAACCCAAAGGTTCATCACCGAATTAACCAAAGCCCTCCACCGGTCCCTGTCCTGGGCCAACAAAATCCAGTCTCCTTCGACTCCTATCTCCCATAGATCCCGCCTGACATTATCCTCCCATCTACGTCTAGGTCTCTCCAGAGGTCTCTTCCCCTCAGGCTTCCCAACCAATACCCGGTGCACACCTCTTGTCCCATCCATGCGCGCTACATGCCCCGTCCATCTCATTCTTCTCGACTTAATCACCCTGACAATATTGGGGGAGAAGTACAGATTTTTAAGCTCATCAGGTTCCTGATAACTGTCTTTGCCATATATACAAATACTGAAGCCACACGGTCTGAGGCATCATACTTCGGACCGGTGATACGGAATGCGCGCTGGTTCGAGTCTCAGGGAAAGAAATTTCTCATGAGATTTGATTGGTGTATGGGACTGGTGCCAACCCAGCATCGTGAGGAAATTGGGAAGCTACAATGGGTAGCGTAATCCGGTCAGGAAAACTAGCAATGGCTGGGGGTTCGTCGTGCTGACCACACGTCACCCTATATCTGGTCGGATGATCGTTCACCTCTGCTTAGGTATGTGAACGCGAGGCCAGCAGACAGTTAGTCGGCCTTGGCTCTCAGAGGGCTGTTACGCCACAGGTTATTATTATTAAGCCAGACACTTACCATCAACAAGAGATGAGTAGATCCTGTGTCTCTGTCTTATCTTGTAGATCCACAACATTGATTTTACTGTTCCTGAAATATGTAGTTCAAGATAAGTAAAGTTATGTAACCCATCAAAACTGTTACGCAAATTAACTAATAAAGACATTTGCGTAATATATTATCTCTTCTTGTCAGCAGCTGAAGGGGCAAGAATATGGATTTGGTCGGAAAACCTAAATGGAATAAAAACCACTTGGAAGATATAGGCATAGATGGAAGGATAATTTTAAAATTGATTATAAGGGATGCGTACTGGTTTCATGTCATTTAGAGTCGATGAAATGTAAAATCACAATGAACACGCTTGGAAAATATGTGCCTGAAAGTAAATATGCCTTTCCCTTGGGGTAAAAATTGTGAATTAGTAGTTTCAAGGTGAATTTTGAAAAATATATATGTGGCAGGGTCACTAACTTTTAAAATATTAACTTATGAGTGACATTAGCGGAACTTAATAGTAGTATCCTGAAATTATGTACGGTAATAGATCTTTAAACTTGTGTAACTTTTGATGTATAAAGTGAAGCTTTCGCTGCGATTGAAGTTGATGAAAGACTTCCGGATTTGTATATGATGTGAAGCTTTCACGGCGGCTTTCATTAATAAAGTCTTCTCGGGCTATCAGCCATGTTGGATGGCGATTAATCGCCGACGTTTCGAGGACCATCTCTGTCCTCATTTTCAAGGCTGTTGACTGTGTGGCTCGTAGCATGAACTAGTTCGCCACACAGTCAACAGCCTTAAAAATGAGGACAGAGATGGTCCTCGAAACATCGGCGATTAATCGCCATCTAACATGGCTGATAGCCCGAGAAGACTTTATTAATGAAACACTTGACTTGGCTAGGATAAGTCGAGCATGCTAACTCATTATCTATATATATTCATTGCATTGTTGGATTGTAAATATGCATTACCCAAATAAGACATTAATAACAAGATTTGTATTAGTTCGATTTTGGAATCTTTAAATTATTTTTATAAACAATTCATCGCTATTATTATTATTTTCAGTTGTAAAAATGATAATCAAGAATTACGATTGATGTAAAGGAACGTAGCCGATGAAGGAGTTTAATTCTTGTGTAGTCAGAAACGAATATTTTTTTGTGGACAACGAATTTTGTGTTTGGTGTGGATTTTGCTTGAACATTTTTTATAGCCCTAGTAATGGTACAATATGACCTCATCTTTGACACAGCTCTCGAAGACATGTCAGTGAATTCTCGTGGAAGATTTTAGACTGCCATGGGCAACAGACATATTCCAGTGATGATTTCAAATGCTGCACCAAACTGAGCTAGATCCATTCACATAGCAGCCAAATGTATATCAAATTCTCTATTTTCTGTAGCTGACAGAGGAGGAAGTCACCCAGTGATGAGTCTGTTTTGACATCAACCGGGCAACTTGCTCCACTGTCAGCTATAGGTGTTGATAATCAATGCATTTTACAAATAAGATTACTAGTCACAGAGCCGTGCCACCCTATGGGTGCATTGTACCTGGGCGGCGACATTAGAGCGGCACAATTTTGAAGCATCGCAGTGGAGTGCCGGAGGGTAGCAAAGTATGCAATCGCCTACAGGAGCCATGGTTGAAGGGGCGCTAAAAGGAACTGAAATCCATTCGTAATTAAACTTCGTAATAAAAAAATAGGAAAATAGAATGTGCTTGCAACTGGGCGGCAGATATGCTCGGCACAAATTTTTA